TGGCGCAATCGTTTGAAGAACTCGATCATGTTGAGCATGTGTCCCAGAGGCTCCTCATCGAAACAGATGACATCGTCCAGATACGCCAACACTCGGTCCAAGCCATGTACAACACGGTTGATGACTTTGACAAACCAGGACGGGCTGGCGTTGGCGCCCTGCGGCACACGAAGCCATTCCAACAGCTGTGTGGGAGTACAAAAGGCGGTGAGAGGGACGGTTTCGTCATCACAAACGATCTGGTGAAAAGCCGAGTTGAGGTCGAAGATGGAGAACACTTTCCCGGTGTACAGCGAATCCAAGATACCGTCCACACGAGGGAGAGGTTGTCCGTCCAGGTCCACCAGAGCATTAAGACGCTTGTAGTTGACGGTAATACGGACCGATCCGTCCTTTTTGGGGATGACGACCAAAGGAGAGGCCCATGGAGAGGTAGAATGCTGAATTAGCCCTGCCGCCAAGTATTGGTCCAAAACTGCGTCCACTTTCTTCTGCATGAAGGGATTGATGCGATACGGGCGAGAAGCAACTGGCTTTGTCCCAGTAGGGACAGAAAGGGTGAATGGCATGATGTTGCAAGAACCAAAATCGGTTTTCGATGTTGAGAACACGTCAGAATACTCGAACAGAGCGTCCGCCAAGCGATCTATAGCTTCCGGTGTCCATCCCGGATTGTGCAAATCGAAGGCGATGTCGTGCATGTGTGCCGGCAGCCTAGCCCACAAACGCGAGAAGCTGAAGCGCTGAGCCTCGGAGAAGCGGTCCACCAGTACTTGGGGAGGCGGCTTCGGAGGAGGCGGGGCAGAGGCTGAATCCGAAGGGCTTTGGGCCTCGGACGCAGGATCAACAGGTGCTCAAGGCCAAGTTCTGCCGCTGACGCCAAGTTTAAAGGAATGCCCGCCCGACGGTGGCTTGCCTCCTAGATGTAGTAGATGTAGATTCTGCCGTAGACACTCTTGTCCACGAGCACGTTGAGATGGGAAGGTTGCTTGTTATTGCAGGAGCGGGTCTGCTACAGGTCTGAGGTGAGGCGGATTGCCCTCAACCTGGGGGCACGCAGATAGCTAAGTCCCGATGGGGTACGTCCTAAGAGGGTATACCTCCTGACGTCCCCCATCTTAATCTAGACCGACTGTGTACCCTATCTGTGCCATACAGCAACAACACTCCTTAACATGATGGTGAATACTCCTGAATCGAAGGATATGACTCTTCACAATAACATCCAAAGGAAAGGGGAGCTGTAGGAAATATCTCGACTCGATCCCCCACACCCCCGTTGAGACAAAGCTCGCATGACTAAATTGACAACACAAGTGCGGCTCAATGAAGATGCTATTACCCATGGAAAGGGATATAGCCAGGTAAGAAAATGCTGCAAAACACATTATGGCAATACAAAATCAGGAGTCTTCAAGGATCGACTTCTTCAGATCGTTTCGGTGGCTACACAGGTGGCCATATCTCGGCGAGTGCAGAGGTACAAGCTCGCATTACGCGGGCGTCAAGACGCCGAAAACAGGCGAACAAGATCGACCTCGAACCAGTCAACGCCAATGATATGGGGATGGAGTGTAGACGCATCGTAGAACGCGTTTTCGTTTGAGGTTGGCGTCTTGTTTGAGAGTAGATGTGACAGATTTGCGCAGAATAGGGTAAGATGTTATCATGAACGNATAATCAATATCGAAACGCCACACACCACTCTTTTACGCGCACGGGCGCGTACCTCAACTGAAGGAATGAGAGTGACTACCCGAAAGAGTCCAGAATTACGCCAAAAATGACAAAATATTAACTCAAAACGCAGGTAAAAAAAAGCAATGGGAAACCACGGCAGGCACACCACCTCAGGGTGATAGAGTTGATTTCGCTGGTAAGGAAGGCATGACTACACAGATAGATAGGTTGAACGACCAACAGGGCCGACCATGTCTAGGCCTGCAATAAAACCTACCAACCAACCTACCTAGCGCAAGGAAGCAAAACAAATTGCTCCAGGACAGAAAAGGTCGAGGGCGGAGAAGGGGACGCGACGAACTGCCCGTATCCCGCTCACAATGGCGATATTGAACACATACACACACAACATAAACATATAAAACATATAACACACACAACACCGAAACTCAGAATCTCGACGGTGATGAAAAAGTTTCGCCTGAAGGTGATGATGACGGAGACAAGTTTAATGAAGCGGTTGGTGACGAGGCGACGAAGGCCACAGGAGAAGGCGACGCCTCGGTATGCAGTCCCGAAGCATGGAGCGCAGTCGACACGCCTCCGTCAAGGAAGAAGCTAAAAAAATCAAACATTAGTTGCAAATGTTAGATATAACAGCTGTTCGGACCCTGGTTGTATTGTTTGATATATACAACATATCCACTGAGTGCTGACTGTTTAGCTCAGTGGATATACATATATGTTGTACTTCAAGTATATCAATAAAAAGTACAACCAGGGTTCGAATCCCGCTGGGAGCCATCTTGACGCCTTTTTTCAGGAAAATTAAAAATGTCTGGGATACACACCTGTGTGATATAAGCTTTTAGCTGGGTTTGTGTTCTGATGTGGAGCACTGCGAACCAATCACAAGTGAGGTGTGGTTCTACTAGCAAGGGTGGTCCTGCTAGTACTTCGGGTCCAAAGGATGTTTGGTCAATACTGTCAATGATCGTGGTGTGGTCACGGGTCTCTGATGTGCACAAGAGGTAGAGTCGAATGTGGTCTCTTTTTAAAACTCCTGATCAGCAAGAACACCTACTGTAACTCAACCGCTTATCAATCCACTCACGAGGCTGTCCAATGCTATGCTAAGGCGTCACACTCAACACAACGCTATGGGGACGGCACTCACGCTCACATAAACCCTAGTCGAAGCTTTGCCAAGAGGCTTCTTGTGAAAGGGGGTGGCTGTAGGAGAACTGAAAGCCAGAATAATCCAAATACATTGGGAACTCCGGGGAAACGGGGATAACTTCAACCATACGATTACAATCTGCGGAGCTTCCTACAACATTGACCCACCCTTGTTTTTTCGCGGAACAATTACCCTAAAATATTGCGTGGAAAAGAAAATAACAACAACGGTAGGAGGCTTTTCGAATTAATCACAGTACTCCCCGCCCTCCCATTTACCATTGCTAAATACTTGAAACAAAGAACCACTCCATATATTCATGATTGCTCCTCCTACACTGGTTTCGACATTTTCTCGGCGTTTCTTACTACGACATGCATCTGATTGCGGGATGTTCTCCATACTGGACTCCTAGTGGGAACTTTGCTGAAGTGGGGTGAAAGGCTTCAATTCTTGGCCCATCCGACCCACCCATATCAAGACATACTTCGTGCGGTTCCAGACTAATTGGGCTGGAACCAACTCTTCTTCCCTCGTGAACGTACTTTCAAATTCCCTATTTGCTGAACCATTCTGCCCCAGATGATCCCCACTACCGCCTCAACCAAGCAGGATTCTAAACAACACTGGAATGCCACCGACAGCCCCATAAAAAACCAGAGTTTTACCCCTGGCCCATAGGCCCTGCCGAGGACACCCAACGCTGCCCAACCCTGGGACGCCACCTACAGCCCCATAGAAAACCAGAGTTTTATCCCTGGCCCATAGGCCCTGCCGATGACACCCAACGTTGTTCTTCCTCCTACCGAACTGGCCGGTATCACCCTGTCTCTATAAAGACCATCACTTGTCCTGTCGCTTTCGGCTATTCCTATTGGTAAACTCGAAATGTCGTATTCGGCTAAGATCTCAAGAGCACACCAGGATTGCCATCATCTGCAGGTCGCTAATAGCTGGGGAAGGACATGATTCTGTAATCACCGACCCACCCAACTCTCTGCTCCACGCCAAAATAAAATAATATCGTCGCCTATAACATCAACTCATGCATTCATAAATAAAGACTGGGGCTCAACGACACCTCCGATACGAGGCATATCCGATACTATGCCCTACCCAAATTCTTGACGAAACGAAACATAAAACATACACACAAGAAGGAGGCGTCCAGGCATATCCGATTCCCCGCCCTACCGAATTGCTTGGCGAAACAATCAAGTAGATAGCCACAAAAACAAGGCAGGGTGATAGCCAACTCCCCTCACCATGATTACCTACATCACACAACTTGCATCACCGACACCGTCGATACTTCGATACAGCCATATCAGCAGACACCTAAACACCACGCTGGCCCCAGAGATAGTGGCGGTCCGAGAGAGCTCCCAGTCCGGAAGATTAGATGGTCGATGGTGCCAGGGAAGGCCGACGTGCCGACGTGCCAGAGATCCTTCCCGAGCTTGCAGACGAAGAGGGGAGGTCGATCGACACATGATTCTGAGTCGAGCCCTGCACCCTTGCTGGAGAAACTCCCTCCAATGGAACACTAGAACTATGACGGGAGGTCAACACCGTGTGGGGGTGTGTTGCGACCTCGATCCCGCCCGGGGAAGCACAACACAGACGGAACACAGGAACAA